ATTCCATCTGAACATGAGGAAGAACTTCCCAACTGTGAGAGCCATTCAACAGTGGAACTCTCTGCCCCAGAGTGTGGTGGAGGCTCCTTCTTTAGAGGCTTTTAAACAGAGGCTGGATGGCCATCTGTTGGGGGTGCTTTGAATGCAATATTCCTGCTTCTTAGCAGGGGGTAGGACTGGATGGCCCATGAGGTCTCTTCCAACTCTATGATTCTATGATCTCCTATCTAACTAGAAGCAACTATAGTCACCTATTCACATTCACTAGGGTTCGGGGAACAGAGCCCAGCGAAAGTGAAAACCTGCAAAATAAATAAATAAATAAACTTATTTTAACTTGAGAGAATGCCTCTCTGGAATTTCTAGGTCTTCCAGCATGATTCTATGGTCAACTTCTGCCAAAAGCTAGCCATAGAATTACAGTGGTGAACCAAGAGATTTCTAGAGAGGTGTACTCTCAAGAAATTTCTGGCCTTTAGACCAAAGGAAACTAGCCTTAGAGTTGCACTACTGGACCTAGATATTCTTAGAAAGAATATTTTAATCAAGCTGATGCACAATCCAGTCTACAACAGTCAAAACAATAAATGTGGAGGGATGACAGACAGTTTGAATAGAGGTTCTTTAGCCTGTCTCCTTAAGTAAGTGAGAAGGAGCAATCCTCCCATTTCACCATAGTCTGAAAACAGATCCCCTAGATAAGGTATCTGTTTTAATTTCCAAAAAGGAAAATATCCTCTCTGTGTGTATATGTGTGTTTGCAATGGTGATTAATACTTCATGCATAATGCATCATTAAGTTGCTAAGAGTGCATAGGCTTTGGCTTGGAAACCTTAAGGCTTAGGGTAGTTCTGAACTGGCAACTGTATTGAACATGTATATGTTGTCTGCACATATATTTCCCCCTTGTGGCTCAGGAATCCTGCAAAACATGAGCAGAGCTTAGGAATGTACAGTTGGATCCACATACCAAATGAGCAATTCAAGGCTGAACCCACAGAGGCCAAGGCCCAGTTGGAGAAATCCAATTCCTTCCTGCTGCCTATGCATGGCTTGGACTGGAATGCTGTTCAGGGTCTCGGTCATGTTATCACTGCCTGGAATACTCTGAAGAATGATTTCAAAAGTGAGACTAGTGCCTCATCAAAGGAGATTAAAAATTTTCCTGACATAGGCCTGAATTCTGTTTATATTTTAAACCTTTGTGTTAAAGTTTGGACAAGATTTTGGAAGCAGTTAGACTTGCATGCCATTGTACACAGATGCACAACGCGGGATGCTCATTTAGATATGCATACAGATTTGCCTGTGCATTCAATTGTACAAAGTTGCAGTTCACTAACCAGGTGGCATTACATACTCCATCTTCGCAATTATTACTTCGAACTAGAAAATGTTATCTCCCCCGCCGCCCATGTTTCCCAGCCAGCACGTCAACGACTTGAATCCAGACATAGTTTTCTAAGATCTACAGAGACACTCGCTGGAACAGCTCAGCAAGTGAGAGTCCAAAAGTGGCAGGCTCAAACCCAGAGCCTCAACCAATGGCTGATACCAAATGAGAGACTCCCCCCTTGGCACACAGAGGACCGGGCGACTTGGAAGACACTGAACAGACAGCGCTCTGACACCACGAGATGCAGAGCCAACCTCAAGAAATGGGGCTACAAAGTGGAATCCTCGACATGCGAGTGCGGAGAGGAGCAAACCACTGACCACCTGCTGCAATGCAACCTGAGCCCAGCCACATGCACAATGGAGGACCTTCTTGCAGCAACACCAGAAGCACTCCAAGTGGCCAGATACTGGTCAAAGGACATTTAATCAACTACCAAACTCACACATTTTGTATTTTCTCTGTTTGTTTGCTTTGTTCTGTTAGAAATGTAATATAATTGACTGGCTGCCCTGACACGAGAAATAAAATAAAATAAAAATCTCTCTACAAGGCACGGAAAAGAGATAAAATAGTTCCAGGGCAGGAGAAACTATTGCTTTTCTTCCATCTTTCCCTTACACAGTGCATCCCTTAGGATCTGATGGCTACCAGCATTGAAGCAACACTAGTCTGAAGACCATTTAGGTTTCATGCCAACACTCTTTGGCAGAGAAGGCTAAAGACCTTGGCTCCTTCCAGACAGGGCCTATATCCCAGGATCTAATCCCAGGTTTTCTGCTTTAGACCTGATTATATGCGTCTCCACTGCCAAATAATCTGGGATAAACAGAAAACCTGGGATCAGATCCTGGGATATAAGCTCTGTCTGGAAGGGTCCCTTGTGAAAATGCAGCTTCTAGGATTACAAAGCATTGAACCATGGGAGTTCAAATGGGGTCAAACTGTATTAATTCTACAATGTAGACAGACCCTAAGCATCTGAAAACCCCATCATAGATTCATTTCAGAGTTGCAGTTAAGTTGGAAACAACTTGAAGGCACACAATGGTATAGATGCGTCTTAAGAATGTAACTTGCCCAAAGTCGCCCAATGAGTTTTCATAGCTGAGTAGGGATTCAAACCTTGTTCTCCAGAGTGGCAGTCCAACTATCAAAGCACTAAATCACATTGGCTCCTCTTACCATTGCTGGACATCTAACCTGTTTATTCAAATGCTGGCAGCAGCAACTATTTGGGTGACCTAAGTTTGAACAGACCGATGCCCCCAACGACCTTGGGAAAATAGTTTTAACTTCTTTGCTCCATTCCCTTCATCTGTTCAATTGAGACAACAATGCCTTGGGGCTTTTGTTATTGCTTGGTGCCAACGCAAGGTCCCTTCGGGTCTGATGGCTGCCAGCATTGAAGCGACACCAGTCCGAAGGCTGTTTATGTTTCATGCCGAGGAGCCACTAAGCAAAAGCACACAATGAGGATACAGTTGGTCTGCCTGGCCCAGGCTGGTGCTGATAACTGCCAGGCCAGTTCGGCCCAAGAAAAAAGGGGGAAACTTGGCATTTAGCCTTCTGTCTTTCAGAGATTCTTTTTTCTCTTTGGGGCCTTTGATGTTGCATTAATTGTGCAAATCTGCTGGGCAGGGAAAGGAAGCCATGGGTTTACTCCAGTCTCTTGCAACAAAAGGCACGGTCATCATCACCATCATCCCGTCTCGCCATTGTGCCATAGGAAAGATGTGAGGCAATAATTGAATAGTTCAAGTTCTGCCAAGAAGCAGAAAAACAAATGAAGCCATACAGACGGAGATAAACGCTTTCATGACACTTGACCTCGCTGAGGCGCTGCTTTTGTGACTGAGAATGTCAGAAATGAGAGTCTGGCTCAGAATGCATCTACACTGTAGAGTTAATGCAGTTTAACACCACTTTAACTGCCATGGCTGAAAACTGTGGAGTCATGAAGTAGCCGTTTTACAAGATCTTTAAGCCTTCTTTGCCAAAATATGGCGGAACATCATCAAACGACAATTTGCAAGGCTTCATAACACTGAGCCTCAGCATTTAAAGTAGTGGCAAATTGCATTAATTCTACAGTATACAACAGTGGTCCCCAACTAAACTAAAATATGGTCCACAGCCTCACCATTATTACACCGTTGCAACTAGAGCGATTGGTCTCGCAAAACCCTCTTATAATGCCAAGGTAACAGGGATGTTAGGAGGGAAGAGGTTGACTACCTACGAAAGGTGCAACAAGCCTCCTGACTGCTGCTTCTCCTAGAATCATAGAATCAAAGAGTTGGAAGAGACCTCATGGGCCATCCAGTCCAACCCCATTCTGCCAAGAAGCAGGAATATTGCATTCAAATCACCCCTGACAGATGGCCATTCAGACTCTGTTTAAAAGCTTCCAAAGGAGCCTCCACCACACTCCGGGGCAGAGAGTTCCACTGCTGAACGGCTCTCACAGTGAGGAAGTTCTTCTTCATGTTCAGATGGAATCTCCTTTCTTATAGTTGGAAGCCATTGTTCCATTGCGTCCTAGTCTCCAAGGAAGCAGAAAACAAGCTTGCTCCCTCCTCCCTGTGGCTTCCTCTCACATATTTATACATGGCTATCATATCTCCTCTCAGCCTTCTCTTCTTCAGGCTAAACATGCCCAGCTCCTTAAGCCGCTCCTCATAGGGCTTGTTCTCCAGACCCTTGATCATATTAGTTGTCCTCCTCTGGACACATTCCAGCGTGTCAATATCTCTCTTGAATTGTGGTGCCCAGAATTGGACACAATATTCCAGGTGTGGTCTAACCAAAGCAGAATAGAGGGTTAGCATGACTTCCCTGGATCTAGACACTATACTCCTATTGATTCTCCCTCCCTGAGCAGAGCCATTCCATGTGGTGCCTGGAAATGGGGGCACCTTTGAGTCTTCGTTTTTAGGCCTGTTCCTGGGCTTATTTGGGATGATGATTCAGAAAATTGCATTGGATAGACCACATCAGCTCTAGATGGTTATTGATGTTAATTGCTTATGGTATTATTGTGTTAATTGTCTTTTACGATGTTTGCATTGAATTTTTGCCGCTACTTGTTGTTAACCGCTCTGAGTCGCTTAATGGTATACAAATAAAGTAAATAAAATAAATAATAATAAATAAATATGGTTTTCTGTGGGCAAACAGATGGTGACTACTGGATGTCATATGTTCTTTTTCAGAAACTAGAGCTGATGTGGTCTATCCAATGCAATTTTCTGAATCAGCACCCCAAATAACCAAACTGAATTTAAAGTTGACCCAAAACTGATTCATAACCCTTTTGGTACTAATGTTGGAGAGTGGTCCCTGGTGAAAAAAGGTTAGGAACCACTGGTTTGATGCTATTGAACTCTGGGATTTGTAGTTTTGGTGTGACTCCAGCATTTTTGGGCAGAGAAAGCTAAAAACCTTGTGAAAACTACAATTCTCATGATTCCACAGCATCGAGCAATGGCAAATAAAATGTTGTCCAACTGCATTAATTCTACAGTGTAAATGCACCCCTACTTTCTTATAAAAATACCCATGTTGACCATAAAAGGAAGAAGGAAACAACACACACCAAGATTATGTTTTTATCTTTTTTTTTAATTTGGCATTTTGTTATTTGCATTTATATTAAAGCAAAGTGCATCTTTTCTTATTTTTTCTTGTTTATACACATTGCACAATACATAAATAATGATGCTTATAAAACGTCTTTGTATTTACAAGTAATAATATATTTATATATAACATAAAATACATTTTTTCTTTTAATAAATCTCAGGGTTCTTTTTTAAAGAAGTCTCTCTCTCTCTATTTTTTTTTGTTGCTGTCGTTGTTATTTCCCCCAAAAAAGCACTTCAATGCTAAAATTCCAACGAGAATGCTCCTCTTTGTTCACTTAAACCTTTTTTTTTTTAATATTTAGAAAAATAGCTTATGTTAAGGTCTAAACATGCTCATTGAGCTAAGAACAGTGTAAAATTATCATACTAAGTGTATGAATTCAAGAAGAAATAAATGAATGACTGCAGTTTCTGGATGCAAACAGTACTATCATAAACCCGACCAGAACAGGTTACGCGGGGGATAAATACTGAAAATCCTTTTCGTCCTTTAGAGGGAAAAAAAGAAACCAAGAAGGGAGCAAGAAGTCTGCATCGCAGATCAATTCAGAAAGCACAGGGCCTTGCACCTTATTGTTTCCCCAGCATCACAAATGATCTCTTAAGCGCAACAGAAACACAGGCACACCCTTTCAAGCCCATGTTGTTGTTGCTGCCTCCTCCACAATAAGTCTTCAAACAGCAAAGTAGCTGCAATGGAGAGGGACTAGAAATAGTGAAAGAAGGAAATGGAAAAGATTAGAAAAGGTTGGCCAGTATTTCATTCTGCTGCATCTGCTCCGTAAGCTGACCATGCGTATGTAGGCACACGTCTTGTGTACATTGGATTTTTGTGCCACATGGGCTTTCCGTCACCATGACAGGGTCGGATCCCTTCATAAGCAAGAGCTGATGGAATGAGCTGCCATAGGACAAAACCTGCAGCAAAGTAGGATTTAGAAGGAAGGCACCTCACAGAAGTCAGTTCCATGTGAGTAATTTAGCACCAGGTTCAAGGAAGACTTGTACTTAAAGCGCTGTGTGATCTGAATGATCTAGCACCAGGTTTGAGGAAGATGGGTTCTAGATCACCCCGGCTATGTGTATGTAAAACATTCTGTGATCCAAATGACCTATTGCCAGATTTGAGGGATATGGGTTCTAGTTCATTCAAACCACACACAAGTGATCAAATGACCTATGAAAGGTTCTAGACAATTCAAATCATATTATAAAGACTTATAGATCAGAATGACCTAGCACCAGATTTGAGGGAAATGGATTCCAGATCATTAAGACCACGGCTTTGAGCACATTTCTTCCCTTTTTCCCTACAATGTTTTTGAATGATCTTAAAAGCTTACATTCTTGCTGCTCATCCTAATATAGGCATTGACCCTACCAGGGGTTTTGGACTTTCTCTTGTGGCCAACATAGCTGATCTTGCTTTTCGTGTTAAAAAGGACATCTCTATCCAGACATTCACTGCAAATATGGCTGCTCCAATGCACATTTGGAGCAGCCATCTGCTTTTTTCGGTGACCACTTCTGATTAACTTCAATGCAGACAATGGATCTGAGTATCCTGGATCTTTGTACACATAGATCCCCTCCTTTCACAGAATTATGCAGTGTAGTCTAAGAACACTGAATATCCACAGGAGCAAACAACGTTCTCTGGACTGGGATATGTTTATGAAGGTGGGGAGTTTGGAGAGAAATCACAGGATTGCTTAAATTCAAGAGAGGGAGCTATGCAAAAAGACAGTTGTATCTCATCCCACCCACCAGTTTGGGGTAATAACTTAAAGGAGGAGAAAGGATGATCTCCTAGTGATTTCTCTCCTGCTCCCCACCTGCTTTTCTAGGTGCCTTCCTTTCCCCTTCTGAGTTATTGGTCATTCACACTTAAATCTTTTTGTTTTCCAAAATACAAGAGCCAAAAGAAAGCAAAATAAAATTTTAAAAAAACCAGAGAGAAAGAGAGAGAAATCTTCCCATAAGCTATTTCTCAAAACAGAACAAACAGACAGACAGACAAAAAGGTTGCATGAAAAAGCAAGCACTCAGAAGGAGATATTTAGCAGCAAAGTAATTATAAAATGTCCTCGTTGAGTCCGGTCTGAGTCTCTGGAGTCATCGGTTATTAAAAATAACCTCCAACCAGCAGGGGCAGCTGCTGATGAACTGTCTCGTGTAGCACTGACCCCAGCCTTTCACAAAGCTGATCTGAACGGTGAAACCAGTCCACGGCTGCTGCATGAATTCGTGGTCGTTCGGCCGTTGCAAGCTGTACGCTTTCTCATAGTCAAACGCTTTGATGGAAAAGCCTGGGAACACTTTATGAACCAGTAACGTCCTGGAGTCGGGGTTGTCCAGTGTGGCCGACTTGATGAAAATCGGGTAACTGCTTCGATTGTAAACCCACACCCCGTCGACTTCCTTGGTCAGCTGGATGCCGTAGCCGATCTTGCTCCGGACCTTCTGCACCAGCTGGCTCTTATTGTCCGAATTGAGCTGTCCGAGGCAGAAGCCATTCCCCTGAGGTAGATCATAGAAGATATCCAGGGAAGGCTCTTGGACAGAATACAGCCGACCCACGCGCGTCTTTTCTTCCCAGTATGCCACCACACACCAGTGTGATGGGTCCCCTGGTTCTTGTAGAACTTGGGAATCTAGAAAAAGATAAAATAAAAGGAATGTCAAATTCAATCTCAAAACAACAAGGCAATATAATTAGAAGACTCTGTCTAATGCAGAGATTCCTAACTTGTGATCCACAGACCAACAGTATTTTGCAAAAATTAAAATATAGTCTGCGGCCTCACCATTACTACACTGTTGCTACAAAAGCGACTAGTCTCGCAAAACTCTCTTATAGTGCCGATGCTTATTAAATATTATTTTCTGTTGGCTAGCAGGTGGCGACTACTGGATGGCATATGTTTGGTATCAGAAACTAGAGCTGATGTGGTCTATCCAATGCAATTTTCTGAATCAGCACCCCAAATAACCGAAATGAATCTAAAGATGACTAAAAACTGATTCGTAACCCTTTTGGTACTAATGTTGGAGAGTGGTCTCTGGTCACAAAAAGGTTGGGAACCACTTGGCCAATGAATACAGAAAGCTTACAATGGATCAAACCCTTTGCTCTTCCAAACTTAGTAAAGTCATTTTACTGACTGTAGTCTTTCAATAATGAAGTCCATCTATTTGTCTTTCCATGACCAACTACTCTCCTCTCTTCTACTGGAGCCAACCTTTCTATATCCCAAGAGAATAAAGTTGGCATCTTTGATATTGGCAATCTACCAAAAAATCTATGAGTAATAATTTGTGTAAGTTATTTATAAAAACAATACAACTCTTCCATGGACCCAAATAAGAACAAACAAATACACATTGAGTATCTCTAATCCAAAATGTGTAGAACCAAAAACGTTGTGTATTCTGAATTTTGGAGTACTTGCATATACATAATGAGATATCTTGGAGATGGGAACCAGGTCTAAACATGAAATTCATGTATGTTTCATATGCAGTACAAATGAATGGTGTTGTAGTTTTAATGTTGGAATAGAACACTGAGAGTCAATGCACAATATTTTTAAAATTGTGTGCATGAAACAAAGTTTGTGTACATTTATGTATCTGAAAGCAAAGGCGTCACCATCTCTATGTGGACTTCTGAATAAGGGATACTCAAGCTGTATTTGTGGTTGGTTATTTTGAAAAGTCACATTATGAAACTAACTAAGCCAAATGTGAGGAACTTTGTATTTATGGCTAAATATTCCTGAAATGGTCTTATGAATCATAAAATGGAAGGAATTAACAGGACTCAACTTATTTATTTATTTCAAAACCACATGTTTAGAGACTGTCGATTTTAACTGGATATTTTGGGAACAAAAAGTGATTGCTTGCTTGCATGTCGCTAGCATGGATATTGCATTGCAAATCCTTCCTTTACACACAAAAAGCCCTTTTCCCAACATCACTATCACTTTGGGGGGATTATCAACATTCTGATCTAGCAGCAATAAGGCAAAGTCAATATAAATGTTTATCACTATGGCTCTGACACCATTACTTATTTGGCAATACCCAGGTGCACAACCAAGTACACAACCTTCTTGCCCACTGGATAATTTTGAGAATTGTAGTCCAAAAAGGGAACTTTTCCAAGCCAAGCTGGTATGGATATACAAAAGATTTACTCAAGTCACCAGTTCCAACATATTCTCTGAACTTGAAAGCACTATTCTTTGGAGCCAAATGTGTATGCAGAATTGACCCTTTTCAACCAATGAGACCAAATGCCATTGCCACAGCTTTCACAAGGTGCCTTACTACATCCGGATTCCTAATAACCAAACAGAATACCCCTTTGAAAAAAGACGACGCTCCGCATACCATAGCATTGGATGCAGAGTTGTTTTCATGCCTTCCTTCAGGCTTTTCAGGGGCATCAGTGTAACCCATAATTAGCCATGATATCTTAGACCTCAGTTGTAGCATTAGGACTCTCCTATCATTTTTCGGAGACTTTACCACATAAAGACCACGTCACGATGGTCAAAACGAATTAAGACTTCAAAAAGAGGTGGTTCAATCTTTCTTTGACCCTAATAACTTCCACAAATAGGACAATCCTGGTCAACACTAGAGCCAATGCATCACATATATTCGACTTAAGGGCACTGGACACACACCCCAAGTGTGAAAAATTGCAAACAATACAATTGCGATTTTTTTAACCTGAGATAATACCTTCCTAGAAATATGTAGTTTCTCCAGTATGATTCTATGGTAAACATTTGCCAGACAGTAATGGAAGACCTACAGAGTCTCTAATGAATCTACACATCCTCCATCATGACTCTATGACCAATTTCCAGCACAAGTTGACCACAAGATCACATTGGAAGACCTAGAGATTCCTTGAGAGAATTTTTTACCAAATTCATGATCAAATCCACAAATGTAGAGGGCCAGCTGGAGCATTAATAATTTGAGGATGGTCTTGACAAACCCTTGCATCTCCCTCTACCTTTGTCTGCTTATATTATTCAGAAGTTGGGGGTCAAACAACCTTGTTGTGGTCACGGAAATGGGGTGAAGATGCAAAACAACAGTGTCTTGTGCCACACTCGGTATATCCCACAATTGATTTCTTCCCTCCAACCCTTATCTCCAAATCCTGGCTGCAGCCATTCAGTTTAAGCCAACACTAAATCAATGACAGATAACATAATACCAAAGACCTGCTAATCAGCCACAGACATCTTTTCTGATGTCAAATGTGAGTAAGCAGGGCTGACAGCTATGGCACTGCTCAGCCTAACCCGCTGCGTACATCATCCTGTTCTTAAAAGCCAATCCCTAGCTTTCTTTCATATAATAAATTTGTTCCCCTTGTCATTTAAGTCAGGAGAGGGAGGGGGGTCATTAAAAAGAGAGAGAGTCAACTATAGCTCCGTCCAGACTGGAGAGATAGGGCAAAATTCATCTGCTATAATTTACAGGCCCTTATTTATGCCTATAGCCAGATCTCTGGTCATAAATGCTAAAGGATGCAGACGTCAGAGGAGCTATAAATCTGATTGAATTGCAGTTAGGCTGTGGTTTGTGGTAGTAGGGTGGAGACCGGAAGTCTTGCATTTGTTAGCAAAAAATGCAGGGGAACCAAAAGAAGGGGGATGCGCATCTGTGTGTGTGTGTCTCTTCCCCACCAAAGTCCTGCCTTTTAAACTACTTTTCTAACGTTAAACAGAAGAAAAAGAGACAATTCTCACGACTGGTGCTGGAAAATAGGGAGAGGAAAAGTGGAGGGTGTGTATTTGTGTTATGATTGTTGGAGACTTTCATGGTCTCTTCTTAAATGCAACTTGCTGCCACAACATCCATGCCAATCTGCCAGGAATTCTGCAAAGGTTCTTACAGATACACAAAGAAACTCCTAAAGCTCTGCAAATGTTCGTTTAAAATAAACGAACAATAGAAAGGGACTCAAGTATGGGTTGAAGACTGACATTTAGCATGTTTCTACCCCTACTTCAGCCCGGAGGCCTCCCTGCTCACTCACTGCAATGAAAGAGGGGCGATGAGTACCGTCACATAAACACGAATATGTAAACACTTCAAAACATCTTCTAACACCTTTCAGTGGGAATCCGTGTCTTGCTTGTATTACAATTCTGAACAGGCTGGGATGGATCCAGGATTGGTTTTCTGTGGATGGAAAGGTTCTGCCTTCCTCCATTCCATCACCACAGCTCAACCGGAAACATAGGGAAAGTGCACAGTTTGGAAAAGTTATATTTTGGGGAATGCCAGAACTCCCTGCTCCCCAGCCAAGATGGTTGGCATGTTGAATGTAGGAGCTGCAATAACTTTTCCAGCCTCTGGCTTTTAGTTGCACGTGCCCAATCTACAGGACACACAGAACTGAAGGTATATCACATAGATTCTGTGAGAATGGGTTCCGCAATTCATTCTCATGGAAACCTGAGCAAATCTATACCCTATAGACCTCATAGGACTATATAACATCTTCTAATACCTTACAGTGGGAATCCGTATCTTGTTTGTATCACAACTCTGAGCAATCTAGGATGGATCCAGGATTGGTTTTCTGTGCATCTACAATGTAGAGTTAATGCACTTTTGACAGCACTTGAACTGCCATGGCTCAATGCTATAGAATCATGGAGTTGTAGTTTTGTGAGGTCTTTAGCCTTTTCTGCCAAAGAACGTTGGTGCCTCACAAAACTATAAATCCCAGGATTCCAAAGGAATGAGCCATGGCAGGTAAAGTGGTGTCAAAAGCAAAGAGCACCTCACTACCTCTGAAGATGCTTGCCATAGATGCAGGCGAAACGTCAGGAGAAAATGCCTTTAGAACATGGCCATATAGCCCGAAAAAACCTACAACAACCCAGTGATTCCAGCCATGAAAGCTTTTGACAATACATTGCACCCAAAGATGTTGTATATGACAGAAACACAAATACTCCCGCTACCACAGGCAACAATTATAGTGTCACACATATGCCACACCTGTAATTCTTTGCTAATTTCATTCTTGAAAGAGGCAAGTATTAGTTTCAGCTATTTTCTACCCACTGTGAGAAACTCTTCAAAAACTGTGTCGTTTTCAAAGACGGTTTATAGTTTGGGAGTCATTCTGCGCAAAACCTGCATGTGTAAACTTTGCTAAGAAAACAGCACTTTCTACTCAGAAAATTCTGTAATTTAAGCATTTATTCTATGCAAAATCTGCACTTTGTTTTGCATAGAAAACTGCATGTTCTGCACAGAAAATATTCCTGCTCCAAAATACATTTTTAAGCCAGAAAATGCCATGTGCCAAAAAAAAAAAAAACCTTGGAAATTTTGTGCAGAATTTATCCCAAACAGAAAACGTCCTTAATTCTTCTTCTCACCACTATCTCCTGATAAATATATCACATGTTTTCAAATAATTTTCAGATATTCTTTCAGCCCCAAACATATAGAGGCCAATTAAACATTTACAACCATTGTGTTTAGCTACTTTCAATATCAAGTCCAAGACACATTAAGAAGAATAGGGCAGCCATATGGAAGGCCAAAGGACTGGGACCTTGGCTCATCTGTCACACTGAGGGCTTTGTTGGTTTCCACAATG